CCAAGAGTTCGATCTTTCTTTGATATAGATTCTCTATTCCTAATTTCTGTGGAACAGAAAATACGAGTGGACAAGGAATGAAAATGCCCCTATCATTCTAGGATATATCAATGGGAGAAAAATCCCCCAAGCAAACCCATACCTTTGGTCTCTTTATTTAGGCGACAGGGGACAAAATTGTTCGAACCCTTGTTATTTTAGTTAGGTTTAAGTCTGACGAGAATAATATTCTACAACTAACAATTCATTTATTTTCAAGCCAATCCATTTACTATCTATTATGTGATTGACCAATCCTTTATATTGGAATGGGTGAAGAGTCAAATGTTTTGGCAATTCCTCCTGGGGGAATGAATCAAGAGAATTTTGAATCATAACTCTAGATTTTTGTTCATCCTTCGCTGTAATAATATCTCGGGGTTTGCAGCGATAACTTGGTATATCTACTATACGACCATTAACTAAAATATGTCTATGGTTAACTAATTGGCGGGCTCGAGGAATAGTTGACGCCATACCTAATCGAAAAAGGATGTTATCCAAACGCATTTCAAGTAATTGTAGTAAAACCTGACCTGTTGACCCTTTGGCTTTTGCAGCGATACGAACGTATTTAAGCAATTGTCGTTCTGTAAGACCATAATGAAAACGCAATTTTTGTTTTTCTTCTAAACGAATACGATATTGAGATTTTTTACCGGCGCGCGATTGATTTCTAAGATCGCTCCCGGCTCTAGGCCTTTTACTAGTTAGTCCCGGTAAAGCCCCCAGACGGCGTATTTTTTTGAAACGAGGCCCTCGGTAACGTGACATAAAGACTCCTTATTTTCTTTATTTTATTGAAATTTCATAAACCTAAATTAAAACTGAACTAAAGGATAAATATGATAAATGAGGCAAAATCTACTGAAGTATTATACTACAAAAAATACTGATATACTACAAATGAGATGGATTCTATCAATATCCGGACCTTATTGTATATACACAAAGAATGTATATAGAATATAGAAAAAAAAAAAAAAAAAAAAAAAAAGCCAGCTATCGGAATCGAACCGATGACCATCGCATTACAAATGCGATGCTCTAACCTCTGAGCTAAGCGGGCTCACATAACAGAAATTGTACATGCACAGGAATTTAGTAAACTACTGGAACCTTAGGTATTCACTTTTCATTCGTAGTAATTCATAATTAAATTAAATGAATATAGAAAAATGAATTGAATATAAAAAAAAAAGAAAAGAATTGACCGTTCGAGTATTCAAAATTGCACAAGAAAAATGATTCGAAGAAAAACATATAGAATAAATGTGGTATATATGCATCTATATTGAATTGCGGATACAGAAATGATAGAATGATTTCTGATTAGACCAAATAGGGGTCCAAAATAGATATGAAAGAGGCTAGACAAGAAATCAAATATAATATTAAAATATAGAGGAAACACTTTTCTAGGAATATAGGAATCGGTATCTAATGACTTTAACAGTTCCAGTAGAATAGAAATGAAAGAAAAAAGGGAATGACATAATAACATAATAATAAGATCTGAATCTCAAAACACAAAACAAAGAGGGGATATGGCGAAATTGGTAGACGCTACGGACTTAATTGGATTGAGCCTTGGTATGGAAACTTACTAAGTGATAACTTTCAAATTCAGAGAAACCCCGGAAAAAAAAAGGGGCAATCCTGAGCCAAATCCTATTTTTCGAAAACAAACAAAAAAACAAACAAAGGTTCATAAAGACAGAATAAGAATACAAAAGGATAGGTGCAGAGACTCAATGGAAGTTGTTCTAACAAATAGAGTTGACTGCGTTGCATTAGTCAAGTAAAGGAATCCTTCTGTTAAAGTTAAAATTCCAGAAAAAAGAAAGTTAAAGTAAAGTATAACCCTATAAACATAATACATAGGAAACATAATACATAGGCATACGTACTGAAATACTATCTCAAATGATTAATGACAACCGACTCGAATCTGTATTTTATTCTATTTATATGAAAAATTAAATAATTAATAATTCTAAATAATTAATAAAAAAAAAATTGCTTTGATTTGAATCGATTCCAAGTTGACGAGAGGATCGAATATTCATTGATCAGATCATTCACCCCAGAGTCTGCTGATTAATTGGACGAGAGTAAAGATAGAGTCCCATTCTACATGTCAATATCGACAACAAAGAAATTTATAGTAAAAGGAAAATCCGTCGACTTTATAAATCGTGAGGGTTCAAGTCCCTCTATCCCCAAAAAAGGGCCCGCTCGACTCCCTAATTGTTTATCTTATTCTCTCTTTTCGTTAACGGTTCAAAATTCGTTATCTTTCTCATTCATTCGATTTTTTCACAAATGTATCTGGGCTGCATTTTTTTTTTCTTTTCACAAGTCTTGTGATAGATAGGATAGACATCCAAACGAACTTCTTTGAGTAAAACAAGGAATCCCTTTTGAAAATTGGAATGATTAACAATCATAAGACTTTAGAATACCTTTTTGTCTTTTTTTTTTTAATTGACCAAGTCATTTAGTAAAATTAGGAAGACGGCGCGTCGGAAATGGTCGGGATAGCTCAGCAGGTAGAGCAGAGGACTGAAAATCCTCGTGTCACCAGTTCAAATCTGGTTCCTGACACATGATGAATTTGTCTAGAAGTATCTATTCTACAACTTAATTAAATTAATTGATATAGATGGTATAGATCAACATACATATTAATAATATAGTTAATAATATAGACCATGATACATACTTATCTAGGTGTCTGGAGATATAGCCTTCTTAGATTTTTAGATGAGTAATTAAAGTATAAAAAAAAAGTATATTAATATAAATAAAAAGTATTAAGGGTATGTAAAAGAAAAAAGAATTCGACTATCTTTCCTCTTTTTTTTTTTTTTTTGTCCATAATGCGTGTCCTCTCGGTCAAAAAATGAATACTTGATATAGATTTAAAAGGGTAAATTAATTGCGTAAAATACTTAAAAGAAAAGTCTAGTCTAGAGAAGTTGAAGGGTGGGAATATACAAGATTCATCTCGGATACAGTACAAATAGAATCTGATCTCCTTTGATTTCTTTGTTTTTGTTTTTTCTTTCATATTATATTTCTTTATTGACTTTATATAGCTCATCTAAGGGATGTGCGCAGTACAAAGTTCATGATGCAGAATTCGCTTAGTTCGTCCTATTAGCTCGGCTCGCCCGAAATAAATATCTTCAAAATTGGAGAATCCGACGAATCCCTAATTGTATTGTCTTTTTTTTTTAGTCTATATATCCATAATAATATGAATGAGACTTCAATGACTCTCTGGATCTATAAGAGAACGAACAAATATTCCTTGAATATCTGGAATTGTAACACTGAAATGAGTTTCTTATTATTCAATGAGCATCTTGTATTTCATAAAAATTGGGAGCAATATAATCTTTACGTAAAGGCCACCCTATCCAACTTTCCGGCATTAAGATACGTTTCAGACGTGGATGATTATCATAAGAGATTCCCAACATATCATAAGATTCTCTTTCTTGAAAATCCGCACTTTTCCAAACCCAGAAAACAGATGGAATTCTAGGATTCTTCCTAGGAGCAAATACTTTTATACATACTTCTTCAGGTTGATCTAGAATACCATATTCTATTCTCGTAAGATGATATATACTAGCTAACAGCCCGCCCGGTGCTACATCATAGGCACATTGGGAACGCAGATAGTTGTAACCATATACATATAGAATGACAGCAATGGAATGCCAATCCTCGGGCTTTATTTGTAAAGTCTCTATTCCTTGGTAATCAAAGCCCAAAGATCTATGAACTAGCCCATGTTTGACCAGCCAAGCAGACAGAGGACCCCGCATATTTTTTTTCTATCCCCCATTTTTATTTGTATAAGTATTTCCTATTTCCGATGAAATTTAGGAAGATTGATTTGCCTTTTGTTATTCTGTACAAAGGAGTCCTTCCTCTAATTTACTAATTCAGGGGACGATACTGACTTTTTGTATTTGAAAAAGGCTTCAGGAGCTATTTTTGAAGTAGACGGCGGTTGATAGAGTAATCCTTGATCATAATTTCCAGTATTAGTAGTACGTCCAATATGAAACTTGTGATTGGTAGTAAAACACCGATTCCCCTGTTGAGACCTAATTCGATCTTCATAAATCTCTCGAGATATTTTTTTACGAAGTTTTGTTATAGCATCTATAATCGCCTCCGGTTTAGGAGGGCAGCCCGGCAAATAGACATCTACAGGAATTAGCTTATCGACTCCCCGAACAGTACTATAAGAATCCGTACTGAACATTCCCCCTGTAATTGTACATGCTCCCATAGCAATAACATATTTTTGTTCCGGCATTTGTTCATATAATCTCACTAAAGAAGGAGCCATTTTCATGGTTACTGTGCCGGCTGTTAAAATCAGGTCCGCTTGTCTAGGACTAGATCTTGGTACTAGCCCATAACGATCAAAGTCGAATCGTGAGCCTATTAATGAAGCAAATTCAATGAAGCAACAACTGGTACCATAGAGAAGCGGCCATAAACTGGAGAGTCTTGACCAATTTGAAAGATCATTTGATGTAGTTGAAATAACTGAAATTGGGGTTGTTCGATCAAGTAAGGGAAACTCAATGGAATTCATAACTGTCTCAATGTTCTTTTTTTTTTTGTTTTCATTATTATTGTCGGAATATTCAAGAGCTAAGACCATTCTAATGCTCCTTTTCGCCATGCATAAACTAAACCAACAATTAGGATAAGCACGAAAATTAAAGCTTCTATAAATACGGATACCCCCAATACATCGAAACTCATTGCCCATGGATAAAGAAAAACCGTTTCAACATCAAAAACAACAAAAACTAGAGCAAACATATAATAACGGATTCGAAATTGTAACCAAGCATCGCCCATTGGTTCTATACCGGATTCATAACTAGAAAGTTTCTCTGGTCCTTTTCTAATTGGGGATAAAAGGCCCGAAATTAGAAATGCCAAAATAGGAATAACACTTGATATTATTAGAAATGCCCAGAAAATATCATATTCGTAAAGCAGAAACATGGGTGCACTCCTATGAATGTAGAAAATATACTAGATTATTCGAGTCGAATTGAAATTAATTGTCAACTCATTCATAACTGTTTAGTCAAAATAACAATTTATTTTGATTGAACTGCTTAGTTTTGTTTGCTTTGGTACATGTCTCATTTCAAGATTCATCGACTCGAATTGTTCCATTTACTTCAATTTTATTTCGATATCAATTATCAATTATAAATATATATTGCTATTTCTCTTATACCTTATACAAATAAGACTTTTTTCTCGATTTTTCATCTCACTTCGGATTCTCTATAAAAATTTATAAAAATAAAAAAAAAAAATATAAATTAAAATAGAATTATAGTATTTTAAATAAAATACTAATCTATATAAAAATAGAAAATACTATACCTATATTCTATATGTAATAGAGTACCTCTACCTATATAATATGGAATATATATATATAATAAATAATATTAAACATTAATAAAATAGGATCTTATATACTAAATTATAGTTCTATTCTATTATACTTCTATTCTAATTTCGAATTATACTTCTATATTCATTTAGAAATTAATATAAATATATTAATTAAATTAATTCAATTTAGTAATTGAATGTTAGGGCAAGAAAAGACTCCTTTATTTTTTTCTTTTATTGCTATACCTTACCTGGTATAGCAATAAAAGAAAAAAGAAGAGCCCGTTTTACAATGTTAATAATGAAAGTTAATAAAGATCCTCATTTTTCAATTTCAAACTCCAGCTTGTCCATAAATAGAGTAAGTCATTTTTAAATCCGTGTAACTTACTAGTAGATTTGATTTTTGTTGAGTTAGGTTGGAATTTGTTTTTAAATGAGTTCGTGTCATGATTTTGACTCCAAAAATTCATTAGGCTTCGGCAGGTATCCCAAAGACAAAGAAAAGAAGTATCACTAACTCTTTTTGATTGCGGATAGGAAAGGGGAAAAATTCATATGTAATTGACTTAGGAAGAGTAATGAAGAAAATTGGGTTTGTTTAGCCAAGACAAGATAAAAAAAAAAAAAATGAAATAAAAATAGCGATTGGGTCTATTGAAGTGCACTTTTTTTTTTATTTCGGCTTTATACTCTATCCTGAATGATTCCTGCGAGCAAGCTTATGAAAATGCTTTTTTTTTTTCGTTTTTCGATAAACCAAGCAATTGCAAGCGGCTAGTTACAAACAACAAACAATACAATAATGAAGAAATAAAAACTATACAATTTTTGTTTTTGTATTTGAATTTTATTTCATTTTTTTTTAGGGCTATACGGACTCGAACCGTAGACCTTCTCGGTAAAACAGATCAAACTGATTATTCTCAAAATGATTCGAACTGTTTCAAAGACCCAACATGCATTTTTTTGCATTGGGCTCTTCCATTAACTGATATAAATAATTAGTTAGTCTACCATAATTCTCTTGACAAGAAGATAAGAAGATGGCTCCATGTGCTCTGATTTCTTATTTGGATTCCGATCTGAGAGCACTACCGAAGTGTTTCAAAGAAGGTTATCCTGACGTAGGTTTGCTTTTGGCTTAGATCAACCTAAGTTAAATGAAGTCTCCATCGCCCCCTTCTTACTTAAATAATCCAATATGAAACTTCATACACCTTAAAGTTCATAAGATAGGACGAAAAAAGAATTTTTTGAGGTCTTTATACTCATTATGCCTAGCATTGAATAGAGTGAGTATTCCCCTTATCAATATCTTAAATCAATAATGGGTTCTATTGGTTGCCTAAAATCTAAAAATCGAAAAGGGGCACCTAAATTGGACCGAATCTTTTGTCAGGCTATTGTTCTCTTGTTCCCTAAAAGTCATGGAGTAAGACATCAACTTCTCAATAAGTTTTTTGATTCCATAATGTACTCCTCTGAAAAAACATCGGCGCGCGTGTAAACGAGGTGCTCTACCTAACTGAGCTATAGCCCTTTTGCTTGTGATATATATTTTATCATGTCAATAATTTCTTGTCAAGATGAATATTACATGATCCAACTTTTATCTCTTTGATCGGTATTGCTTATAAATAATATTACATTTATAATCCATCGATGTGACGGGTTCCATTTCTTTCTCTTTTTGATTCTAAATTACCTACTTAACTCAGTGGTTAGAGTATTGCTTTCATACGGCGGGAGTCATTGGTTCAAATCCAATAGTAGGTATAACTTATTAGATATCCGAATCCATGGTATCTAATAAGTTTTTCTATCCGCCTTAATTTTATTGATTTTTGATCTTTTCCATTCCATTCTATTTCTCTTTCTCTATTTCATTTTTGAATTTGAAAATTTTTCGTTGTAGTTGTATTAGATAGAATCCGATTCCATTTAGGATTCTATTCAATTTGCAGAATAAAAAAATAAGATGTATAAACAGAACTTATGTTTATA